ATATATATATATATATATATATATATATATATATATATATATAAACCCATATGGTATACGCATATTAAATTTAATAAGAACACACATTATTTGTGTGTTCTTATTAAAGAACATAAAACATTATTTTTCATTTGAAAAAAATATACTCATATTTTTTCATAGTAATCTAACAGTACACAAAATAAGTATTTACACATATATACATACAAGTATATATATATGTGTGTGTGTGTGTATATATATATCTAATGATCTAAATATGTATTGCAACACATCTTAATGAAAAACATGAAATAGAACATAGGGAATTACATGTTTAATCTAACAGTACATAAAATAATATTTTAGGCATGTTTAGAGATATCATTTTTAATAAGTTTGGAGATTAAGAAGTAATTCTATAATTAAATACACACAGGGTAAAATGTTCATCATAATTATTACATGATGTTCAAATAAAGAATGTTTTAATTTACAAATATATGTATTTGTGTATTAAGATTAAAAACATCTCGATAAACAATTTATATAGACTTAGATAATTCAAATTCGAATATATTTTTGAAAATATATACGCGCGCGCGCACACACATATCCGAAAATTATATATATAAATCGGATGATCTAAAGATGCGTTGTAACACATCTTAACGAAAAAACATTAAATCAAAACGGACCCCAAGATCATCCAAAAAACAATTTAAAAAAAACAATAGAATCAACGAAAAGAATCGGCGCACATGGAAATCAAATAGTTTAATAATCAGAAAATAAAATATGAGAGAGAGAGGGAGAGACATAGTTATGGATGGAGAGATGGCGACAAAGAGGCGAAGACGAAGACGAAAGAGGAGAAAGGGGATCGTAGCGGCGGAAGAGCAGAAGTGAAGGGTAGGGTTAGGAAGATAGGTTTTATATTAATGGATATTGGGCCGGGAAAGTAATTTGGGCCAGTATATTAAGTTGGGCTGGGAGAAAGAGTGGCTAATGCCTGAGGACTATTATTGTGCCCCTTCATGAGTTTTTATCCCGTTTTGATTTTTCGGTAACCTATTTTCAAAATTTTACTTATGATTAAATGAAAATATATTTTGTTTATTAATTAGAAAAAAATATATTTTAAAAATTAAATTGCATGGATGAATTATATGAACATAATTTAGCCCTCAAATTAAAATTAAATTGCATGCGTACTATTCTCACAGTCAAACTTCAAACATTTTCTTTTTTTTATTTGTTTTTGCAATTTCATTCAATATAGTCATGTCCACATTTTTTTGTTTATCTTTTGATATAATTTTAGAATATGTAATTTTTATATTTATTTCTACATCTTTTTTCATATAAAATATTTGATCCATTTAAACTCTGATTCGAATATGCATCCGTTTAAATAATTGTTTATCCGATTTGCATGTGTATTATATCCAATATCCGACAAATATCCGACTGATGCAGATACAATTTTGAACTTTAGTATCTGTCAAGATTTGTATCCGAATTCGATATCCGACAAAAATAAACGGATACGAATTTGGTAATGGCACATCTGATCCGAATAATATCCGTTTGCACCCCTAATTTTATAATCTAATATATGAATTTATTGCAAGTTATAGTTCACTTAAAGTTAGTGTTATTCAAATAAAACAAAACCACATTAATTGTTTTTTTCCTATGATATTTTTTTCTGACATGCATTTCACTAAATTCGAAATTGTAATTATAGAAAATTCATTATTTCCTTAATTTATTGTAAAGAGGAATTAGTTTATACAGATGTAGTTTCTAAAGAAGTGTTCCAAAACTTATAATACTGCATTTCGAGTATAATCCTTGATATACAATACCTTTTTTGGGCAATAAAAACAAAATTTGTAATATTTTTATTTTTTTTCATTTTATTTTATTTCAAACTAAGACTAAATATAAATTACTTTGTATTTTATCGCACGAATATGAGTTAGTATATATGAGCTACAGTCATAGGCCCGTCTTTTAATCGTCCATATCTTCTAAGCCTTTTACTTCGTACGAACCGACACGTCGTAGATAGCCAGAGACGCAGGCGCAGAAGCTTGCGCGCAAATCGATCGGAAAATTCACACCGCCGCCGCCGCCGCCGCCGCTAGACGCCGCCGACCCTCCAGGTATTCCGCATTCACTACTCATAAGCTTTCCAATTTTGTAACTTTTTTCTTTCTTTCATAGTTTCATTCTTTGGATTTAAAATCTAGGTTTAATTATTAGTTTTAAGTTTGAAATCTTTGCTAATTGCTATGAAATAGAATGAATTAATCGTTCTATATGTTCTTTATTTGATTTGGATGAATTGATTGGAAATAGAATGAATTTATGATATATATATATCATCTATAAAAAACTGAAAAGCAAACAAAATTGAAAACTGAAATACAAAAAAACTAAAAAATTGACGCATTGATATGAATTTAAGATACATATAAAAATATGAAAACTGAAAAAGGAAAAAAATAACTGAAAAATTGACGATTTGATATGAATTTATGATATATGAATTTATTTCCTTGCTTTTTCATATTTATGTAATTAAAATACTATGATTTTATCATTTATTTTTTTCTTCTAATAATATTGCATTAATTATAATTTAAATATAATTGATTTACATATGTTAATTTGTTACACCATTAGGGATAAGATTTTTAGGGCGTTTTTTTCTGTTTCGGCCCATCATGACCGGCCCTGGCTCGCTCATCAATGGCGCATCGCGCATCGAGGCACTAGAGCCCCTTTGTGCATCGGTGCGCATCACGCCTTAAATAGCTATGGTTGTATTTAAAAATAGACATAGTTTTTTCACATTCTTTTGTAAACAGGTAGTGAGGTCAAGCTATTTAGCAACACATCAATCAAAGAAATATTCCTACTTAGTATATAACTCAGTTAATAAATTTCAGTCTAAACTACAAGAGCTAAACCAACCTGCATAAGGGCAGTAATGAACAAAATATCAAATTGAATGCAATTTTATATTCAATTACATCAAATATAGGTTCAATTGCAAATACAAAGTAGCTTGAATCAACAACATGAATTATAACATCAAAATTTGCTTCATTTCATATACAAAATTTGCTTCATTTCATATACAAAATTTGCTTGTACAAAATCAAACAACGATGCCACATACAAAATACTCATAAATTATAACATCAACTTTTGCTTCATTTCGAATCAAAAAATCAAATTTAATGTACTTATACACCAATCACAACGACAAATCGAGCAAGAGGGACCAGAACGGAAAGGGGTGGATTGTCGGAGGAGGTCTGCAAATTGAGTATTAAGAATGAAGAACAAAACAAGGAGGGCGTACCTGAATCCAGTTTTGGGTGAGGGAGGCGTCTATGTAGATGAATGTGGAAGGAAGGAGATGCGTCGATGTCAGGACTGAAAAAGAAAGGGGCAGGTTTGGACTGAAAAAGAAAAGTGAGAAGAGATTAGTGGTGTATATGGAACGGTGTAATTAGTAGTGCAATTAGCAGGGGATCAAACTGTGATCCCCTGCTAATTGTTGATTATGGAGTATTAGCCAATGTGTTGTGATTTTTTGAGTAATTTGATACGTTAGCAATTGGTTAGTAGTAATTGGGTGGAAATATATTTTAAGAAAGAATCAATGTTTAAAGAGTTTTAACCCATTGGGAGTAATTCTGAGATGAATTCAAATGAACCTCTAGTTCTACACCAACTATTATAAAAAGTAGTTGGTCATTCAAAACTATTTTGAATGAGAATGGATGAGAAGAAAATGTTGACGTTGAATCTTTGGAAGCTGACCTGTGGTTGAGAAAGAAAATCTTAGAGTTTCACTCAAATGTTTGAGATGAGAAATTTTGCAATTATTGACTTATCATAAAATGTGTTAACACAGTCATGTCACCTGGCACCTCCTGGTTTATAGATCTTTTCATGTAGTCTTTAAATATTTAAATTTTACCAGAGCATTTAATATTTCAACACAAATTTTGATATAAACCCAACGTCAAGTAATTTTTGGGATGGAGGGAGTAACACTTATACCTTGATTGCTTGACACATGGAATGTAGTCCCAATATTTAGAGATGGGACCTCATGGATTGAATTTTGTTTTGATTGGGATATGAGATTGCACACACTTATTTCCAACTAAAAAGATGTTTTAGTGCACCATGTAAAAAAAGTAGTATTAGTGTATTGGCATTGACAAAATGAAAAAATTGTTTGCCATCATTTAGAACTGCCTCTGTGTAATATAAGTTCATAATATATACTCCCTTAATCCATGTTTTTTCTCTTTTAGAAATAAAGTTTATTTTGAAGAAATAGAAATATAATGAACAACACAACAATTTCTTTGAAAGAAAATAAGAAAATTTTAGGACAAACGAAAAAGAAAATAATGATTTGTGTAGTTCAAAATCATTCAACAACAACTACAACCTAGTATAATCTCAACTCTGTTTGGGTTTTGGGATCAGGATGTACACAACCTTACCCATTTAAAATGAAGAAAGTCTGTTTCCATAAGACCTTTGATGCATTGTTGTATTTACTACCCAAAATTACATTGGAAGTACGAAGCGGAGGAAGTTTAGTGTGCCCTTTCAATTTAGTTCATTATCTATCCAAGCTAAAACATTGTCAATTACAATGCTTTTAGCTCCATTGGCAGTGGACGTATAGTTCAAAATCATTCATTCTTTATACATTAAATATTAATAGTATTAAACATAACTGTTTTCCCATTAATTTGTGTACCATTTCTTCTAATCCTAAACTGAGGCGGAGGACTAAAAGATAAGATTTAGATACCGTGGAGTTAACTCCACTTGAAATTACTTTACCAACCGTCTTGATGGAATGAGAAGGATGAAGTTGATATCTAGATTCCATATTGGAGGGATGGTGGAGTATCTCCACCTTATCCAAATCTTATTGGATTATACAGATTTACTAAAAAGTAAAACAACTCATTATTCACTATTCACTATTCACAAATTGCCAGCAGGAGGGAACTGCCAGAGATTGAAGTCACAGCAGGAGATTCAAACAGTTTCTAAGATCTGTTTAATTCAAGATCCAATGGCAAATGAAACCAGTGCTTCTGCTATGGAAATAGAAGAATTAAATTCAAACCATGCTGATCAGATCAACAATCCCAAATTCTCTATCAATGGTTCTTTCCACTATCCTCGCTTTCTTTTTTATATGATGTTGTTATATTATCCACTGATAATGGTTGCATAAAAATATGTGCATGTTTTTAGCCGTTAGTTTCATTGGTTACACTTGATTACTGCACCACTTTTCTAAAATTTTCTTTCCATTTTGACTTGATTTGCTTATTTTGAGAATGAAAGTATGTAGTTGTGGTTTATTTTTAAAAAGAGAAAAATATATCAACAAATTTTTCTTTAGGAAATAGAAAGGAAGCTTTATCACAGTCCAAAAAAGAAAATGAGAAGAAAATTACAGGTCATATGTTATCTCATATGCTTCTGCATCTGTTTTGAATTAATAATCTGGGCCATCAATTTGGTGTTGTATAGTTTTGCAGCTGTTGAAATCTGCTCAAATGCAGCATGGATTGCGCTTTGGTGACTATACTAGATACCGGTAAGACTGGTTTTCCTTTTGATTGATAACTTAGATGCACAATATGTAATAATTGTGATCTTTGCACTAATGTGGCTAGAAAATTGAATGCTCATCGAATGATTGAGTGCACAGGAGGTATTGCACTGCCCGGTTGAGGCGATTGTACAAATCACTGAAGTTCACCCACGGGCGTGGGAAGTATACCAAACGTGCAATTACAGCAGTCATAGTCACTGAAGTAAGGTTTGTCCATTGCAACCTGAATTATTTTTTTGCAATTGTGTTTGGATACATCATTTCAGTCAACAAATATATTGAAATATTTTCAACATTATTAAAATTGTGGAACCATAGAAGCATTTTAATTGTGTTACAGGATTTTTTTAATGTAAAAATGAATGGATTCTCAAGTAAAATCTGTGGTTTGGAATTCTTATTTATTTAAATTTCTGAGAGTTAAATGTTTTAAACATTATTTTGCTTTATATTTTATTCAATGGAACTACTAGACTTTTTTTAAATGAAAGCTTAGCGAACATTCTGTGGGTCCAATGCAGGTTTCTTCACTTGGCTCTTTACACTGCTGAGAGAGCCTGGAGTCATGCTATGGAAAAGAAAACTTTGCGTGATGGTCCTAATGCACGGCAACGGAGCTACCTCATTGGCAGATTGAGAAAAGCAGTTAAATGGGCTACATTGTTTCAGGAATTGTGTGCCATAAAAGGAGACTCCAGGACTTCTTTGGAAGCAGAGGTGAGCCCTCATGTTTTCATCTACTCAATTTATTGTTTCATGCTTTCATATAGCGATTTGATCTAGTTGATCTTAAGCTACCATTTTACAGCCATAGACAATGACACTGTAGGATTTCAATATCGTTTTTTCTCTTGTGACAAATTTGTAAAAAAATGATTTTTAAAAAAAGACAAAATCTTCTATTGTAGAGCTTGTTATGTAGACCGGAGGTCATAATCTTTCTATTAACCTTACTGCACAAACTAAAGAAATTCTTCAAAACCTTTAGAATTCATGAATTTTCTAACTCTCACCCCCCACTTCCGAGGGAATGTGAAGAAATGGTAAGGTCATTGAAAGACTAAACACAAATATTTTGGATTAATATTAAGGTTCTTTGCAATACAGTAAAGGACAAATACTAAAAACTGTACTTAGGTTTAAGAAGTTTGCTTATTTATGTTATTGATATTTGATGATTCATTTCCCACTGCAATTCTCCAATGATTGCCTTTTATTTATTTTATTTTATTTATTTTTGTTTATAGTCTCTTAGTTCTTGGCAAGTTGGGATGATTCTTTTCCCTCTCAGTGAAGAAATAAGTTTACTTATTTTATTTATTTCAAGGTAAATAAATAATGTGGTGAGTGACCAAATGTCTAGGTTATAAGTGTGGCTGTAATCCTGTAACCTTAGGTAGTTAGGTCATGCTCTTCTACAATGAATGCTCTTATATCCAATCAATTTTCTTTAAAATTTGTTTAATGATAAGTGTTACCCATTTGTAGGTTTCAGCTTTTTGTAAGCATCATCTGTTATATGCTATAACTTTACAAAAAAAGATTTTCTAACTGCAGGCCTATGCCGCATATATGAAAGGGAATCTGTTGTTCGAACAAGATAAGAATTGGGACATTGCAGTCAAATGTTTTAAAAGTGCCAGGTATAATTAAACTCTAACTTTATTTTTGTATTTAAAAAGATTTAATGAGAACCAGTTAATCGGACACGGAAGGGCTCGGGTTGTAGGAGGGTGTGAGGTCTTGAGGAGTGTCCAGAGAGGGGCCTTCACCTCTTTCTTTCTGTACTCTGCAGCTGTCTACCCTTTTGTTCATCTTTAATACTCCCTCCGTCCCACAAAAGTTTTCCCCTTGCGTTTTCCAATTGTCCCAAAATAATTTTCTTACTTTCTCTTTCCCTTTTTAGAAAAGAATGTGATCCAAAATACTTCTCTCTAATTACAAGCAATTCTAACCACTCACTTTTCACTAATCAACACTTTCCTTAATCTCCATGAAGTCAGTGAGCAAATTAATTTGGGACGGAGGGAGTATTTGATTGTTCTAGCTTTTTTTTAATGTTTTCTTGAGCCAAAGATCTTTGGAAAACCCAAAGAATTGGATTGTGTGTCTTAGAATTAATGAATTTATTTGCCCTTGCACTCTGCTACCTAGCTGACCTTAATAGCTTCTTAGGGCTGTTTATGAGGAGCTTGGCAAATATGGAGATCTAGAGAACCAAATTTTATGCCGTGAGCATGTTGAGCAACTCGAACCAAGTATACGCTATTGTTTGCACAAGATTGGTGAGTCAAAATTGCAGACTTCTGGGCTTATACACATAGGTGAAATGGAAGGGCCTGCCCTTGACCTTTTCAAAGCCAAATTAGAGGTGAGCCATTTATTTGATTAACTACCATGTGCTTGATTGATTTATCCATTGATCTACTGTGATCTTTATTTTACTTTTAGGTCCTGCAGAATTGTAACCAGGTTTATTTATGTTTATATATATGACGTGGGTTTTCTTTATTTGCAGGCTGCTATGGCTGAGGCTAGAGCTCAGCAGGCTGCATCCATGACAGAGTTCAACTGGCTTGGTCATACATTTCCAATTTCAAACCCAAAAACTAGGGTTTCTATATTAAAAGGTCAGTAGGAAAATGTATCCCTGGAGAAACCATATGGTTCAGTTGGACGTCAAACTGTTGTGTTTCTTCCGTTGTTTATCAACCCAATTTTAGATTTTCTCTTTACCTGATTGCACGGGAGGACACATGGTATTGTGTAGCATTCTCTGCCCTTTCTAGCCTTCTATTGTTTCAAATTATTTGATTGTCAAAAAAGATTGATTTTGCTAGTCGCTGCTGTTGTTCCGGTGGCTGAAAAAGGAATACAGAGTACTGTGTTGGATGTGGGGGAGAGGGGCAGGGGTAATTTAGGAAAGTCAATGCAAATTTTAACTTTTCTTAATCTCCGTGCCCAGTCAAAGCAGGAAGATAAAAAATAGACAGAGGGAGTATATCGATAAATTTACATTTTAACAAGGTAAAAGTTAAACTAGAGAGGAAACGAAAAAGCATTTTAGCATACAAATATACAATCTGAAAACTACCATAAATTAAACATGGCATACTAGTTAGCTGTGCACATGATTATACAAACACTTCTCTATTCCCATTAGAACCATAGCTACAGTGCTAGTGGAAAAGCAAGAAAAACAAGAGTGTGACATGTATAAGGTGTTAACTACCATATAAAAAAAACTAAGCATAATATACAACTATAGAGGTTATTATCACATGAGGTTATAGTGTTAGGAATGTACATTTTTTTGTTCTAGTTAGAGGCTTGACACTTTTACTGCATTGGCTCTCATACAAATTGGTTGTATAGTCTTGGAGTGTGCTAATCAAATTCTGTCATAAACATTTTTGAGACAATTGCATTCTATTGAATTTCCCTACACATTTGATCAGCTCAGGAATTAGAGAGAGAAATCCATGGTCCAGCAGGCGACTCTCTTCCAGCAGAGAAGAGACTTGTTGTGTTTGACAAGATATTTGCAGCATACCATGAAGCCAGAAGCAACATCCGCAGTGATTTGGTAAGAACAATACAATTGTTTTCACCAGTCCGTATCAAATGGTATCTTGAGCTCAAATAATTATACTTCATAACCTATTGATGTTAGCAATGATTTTGAAGAGTATGGTTCTACTTTATGCATAACTATTGAAAACTGACACCAATTATGTGGTTCCTTTAGGTTACTGCAGCCAGTTCTGAAAATGTGAAAGATGAATTAAACGGCCTTGATAAAGCCATTGGTGCCATTTTAGGACAGCGAACTATTGAACGGAACCAGTTATTGGTTAGCATAGTGAAAAGTAAGTTCAATAAGGTCCGAGATGATAAAAATGAAAAAGTGACGAAGCCAGAAGAGCTTGTCCGGCTGTATGATCTCTTGATACAGGTAAGAATAGAAGCAAACTGCAATGTTGTCAATGTGAAATCCAAGAGACAATTTAGACTGTGGTAGGTAACATTAGTGATGATGCTGATGATGAATGTTTATTATTCTTATAATTGTTATTGTCAATTATGATGATGATGATAATTGTTGTTGTTATTATTATTTTTATTATTATGCAACAGCTGTATTAATTGTCTCTCTTTTGGCAGAACATATCTGACCTTTCTGATTTAGTTAGCTCAGGAAGAGATAGAAAAGCAGAAGAAGTGGCACTTGCTGAAGAATGTGAACTGAAGAGTATGGTTTTCCGGGCACAACGGTATGCCACTTGTTATCTCCTTTGTTTTCTCAGTTTATGTAACATTTCTGCTCTCCATCCTCCAATTTGGTTGCCATGTTTCACCCCTCCAAAGGAATGCTACATTTGTCCACCATGGGGAAGAATATTTTTTTTTTAAATCAGTCGAAATTCGGTCACATTCTAAACTCGTGTTCTGGGTGCACTTCCCATCTCCATTTTATGCTATTTCCCAAAATGTTTTCCATTCCTAATTTCATACCTTTACCATTCGTTTTAAGTCCTGGTTTCGAACCTTTTCCCCTCATTTAGGTGTATAAATGGTGAACTTGTATTGACTTTAGAATGTGCAGATCTTGCAAGTTTCAGCAATCATGGCTCTCTTGATATTACTTACCATGTTTCCAATCTGTCTGTTTTTTAATAATCTCTAAAATATATTCTGATTTTTTCCTTCTAAACTTTGGAGGCTCAAACTGATTGAAGGAACCTCAAATGTCTTTGCAGGTGCTTCTACTTGGCCAAATCATATAGTTTTGCCGGAAAGAGGACGGAAGCTTATGCTTTGTTTTCTCGAGCTCGTTCTTTAGCTGATGTTGCACTGAAGAGACTTCACAGTGCAAATATTTCTGATCAGGTATGTGCATTAGTAACTAGTTCCTC